CCGTGGAGTTTCAGGTCATTCCGAGAATATTTGTTTTCTGCACATAAAACAACATCATGGTAATTTGCTGAAAATAGCGTCAGTCCGGGTTAGTTCCATTCAAATCATACAAGATAGTCCAAAACAAGGGTAAAAGTGTTTGGAAAAGTAGATACGACGGAGAGGTATTAGGGGGTGATACCCCTAATATGGCCCGCGGCCTTGGCCTTATCCAGAATGGCCGCAAGAGCATCGACCACCATATTAAACAGGAATAGGGAGAATGGGTCGCCCTGCCTCACCCCACAGAAAGTGGGGAAGTAGGGACCGATCTCCCCATTGATGTTGACAGTGGTGTGCCCACACGAGACCATTTGCATAACCCGTGTCACCCAACGATCATCAAAGCCTTTTCGTAGGAGAACTTCGCGAAGGAAGGGCCAGCTAACAGTGTCATAGGCCTTATGGAAATCTATCTTCAGGAAGACTGCCTTGAGGTGTTTGGAACGTACCTCATGGAGGACTTCGTGAAGGACCAGCACCCCATCCAGACGGTGTGTAAGATTGGTTTTGGGTCTTTAGACGGACTCATGTGCATGTTACTTACTCATGTTCACACTCTTTCTTTTCTAGGGGATGGAGAGAGAGAAGAAAATTATTTTTCTATTCCTTATGGCTTGGTCTTAGTGCTATTACCTGATTTTTGAAGTTTATCTTAAGACCTTCCTCTGCAATATTTGTAACAGGGTCTTAAGGTTATTTCATTGCTTAAGACCTATATATTTCACACATTGGAGACACCCTAATTCGTTGAACAATAAACAACAATACTCTGGTCTTTAATAGTTTTTTTCTTGAACACCTCATGGTTGATGTATTATACATAAAAAGAAGAAGGCCGCACATCAGCTATAACACCCTCGCTAGCCTAGCAATTCGATTATTACAAGTTTAGTTAGCTGGTGTTCATCCATGCAACCGCTCGGCCTCTAAACATGTTTGGGGTGCGTTTAGCCAAAACTTGTCCTACCAACTTTGTGACCTAGCATGATTGGTTTGCCACCAATATTTGGGTAGCCAAATGTTGGCATTGCCAAATATTAGCAATACCAATACTTGTCAAATATTGATAACTTTATGTGAGATAGGCAAGATAACCTGTTAACCAATCAATTAGTAGCCAATATTTGATACAGTGCCAAACATTGACATTGCCAATTTTTGGCACCAAACCAATTATGCTCGAAATTGATCTATCTTTGGTTGCTTGCTATTTTTTGGCATGCCAATGGCTGAATGGTCATTTTTGTTTATGTTTTTTTATCAATGTTGACCAACTCATGGGCAAGAAAATAGTTAGTCAATTTTGATTAGCAATGTATTTGTTAGGGAAAGTTTGGGCTAACATACATATCCTTCCTCTTATCCAGTGTTTCCCTTCAGAATGAATCATATTACAGATGGTGTTTGCACCTGGAGGCTTGTTGTTGAACACCACATATTCCTATGGCACTACGTGCAAATGATAGATTTATCATTATAACTAGGTCACGCCGTTGGTTGACAGGGGCGTGAAAAGAAGGCCACCAACATCAAGGCACCAAATTTGATCTCTATATTCTGATGAAGCGTCCATTCCTGCATATTCCAAGAGTTTAAAATTTCACTCCATACCCGTTTCACCATGTCGTCGAGTAGGAGATGGTATTTGGTCCTTGACAACATAGTTGAATCCATTGTCATTGAAGCCGGTCATCAAGCATCCAATATCAATCTTGGACTGGCGGCCATGCAAATATTGCTTAGATGGGCATTCCATACCCCAACTAGAATAGAGTAGATTCGTCGTTGTGGAATGCCGATGTAGACACACCATCAAAATTTGCCCTAGATTAATGTGGCACATGGATCTTGAATTCATCCCAAGGCCTCCCCGGTTCAACCCCCTTGAAGCAGACACTAGCGTGAGGTAAGGCCAAATTCATCAGCTTTAGACCAGAAAAAGCAAGTCCATCTAGCATCTTAGGGCCACATGGCTTCCTAAGCCACTAGAGAGTGCCTTTTGCGCCTTATGTATTTTTCTGAATTTTTCCTTCATGTGTTTGCTCCTGCTCTGTAGGAATTTGCCATTTGATTGAACCACCCTAGTATTTAGCTTTTATTAGTGGTCTTTGCTGCTACGATGGAGATGATTTTGGGTCAGCGACCGATTGTTCAATATCCTCATACATCAACCTCAGATGGTTCAAAGCAAGATTCATAAAAATAAATCATTCACTCGTGTACTGTCAAGACAAGATTCATAATTATTCTCAAATAATGCCTACTGTATTCTACCATTTCCATAATTTATATCTCCCAATATATTTGATGGAAACTTTAAAGCAAGCAACCAAAGAAAATAAAACAGAATCTGTCAAAAAAAATAGTACGTAAATATATGATTAATTATCATACTTCTACAAATCCAAAAATTCTACAAAATTAGGAAGTCACAAAAAATTTGTAATTCAGTATTTTGTAAACATTTCAGGATTTTATCACGTTCCAGTAAAAAAATCAAAATTTAAATACTTGGCGCAAAAGTTACTATTTTTGCACAGAACCTAATACACAAGCATTTGCAACATCCTAAAGGTCTAACTTGGCTCAAAAATAAAGTAAAAGATACATACACCATTACTACAGTAGTAATAATCATGTTGACACACTCAATAAAAATAAGAGCAAAGGATATATATTGGATTACCTTTCAACAAGCGCTATTGTTTAATGTCCTCTAGCTAGGCATAATGCAATCTATCAAGTTTTATCATCTTTTATGGATAAATCATATGTAGCTCTCATGATAGTTTCGTAAGTAGATTTAATCATATTTCTATGAAAATGTTACATACTATTCTTTAAGGGAAATTGGAATCGTATGTATATTACCTTCCTTCGTGTCGATATTTGCACCACTTGACGCGCGCTCGGTGTGTCATTGGGAATAATTAGCGGTCATATTATCAAGAAGCTTGGTGGCTTCTTCAAGCGTTATCCTCATGAACGTGCCACCTTTAGCAGAATCTAGAAGGTTTCTAAAAAAAGTGGTTGGGGGAGGGGCTTTGCGGGCGTACGGATCGTTGCCACGCCCGCGTCTGACCGCCCTGGCCCACCCAAACCCCCTCACTCGCTCGCGCACACTTCCCGCCTGAAACGGTGAGCGGATCTTCAGAGCTTCTATGTCGCATTCATGCCTGCCCAGAGGCGGGCGCGACTTCTCACTGACACTGGCATTGAAGCGGCGTGCCGGCTGAGAGAGCGCCGCTTCCCAGTGCACGCGACTGCTTCGCGTTCAAACGACACCACGGCCGGCCGACCGTCTTCCGCCCACATTAATGACATGCAGTTATCGAGGAACATACTCCGGTGCCATCTGTTCATCCGTCTGCCGCCCACTATTGCCATTCGCCCACTATATAAACTTCAACCCCGGCCAGCCATAGTCATCCTCCTCTGGTCCCTTTCTCCTCCCCGCACCACCCCCACCATGGCGTCCTCGCGCTCCAAAGCTCTCTGGGACGGACTGTCGCCGGAGCAGAAGAAGGAGATGGCTGCCATTGCTGCAGGCTGGCCACCGGAGCCCGACGATGTCACCATGGAGGACAAGCCTACGCCACCCTCCTCGCCGGTGGCACCCTCGCCGGTGCATTGCAGCATGACAAATCGGTGAAGTCCGTGTCCATTACATGGACATGGTGCGGGAGGAGCAGTTCCGGGCGGCGCAAGCCAACGCGGCCTACAACCTCTAGCTCATCGAGGAGCACCAGTAGGCGGAGGAGCAGCTAGCCGCCGGCAGGGCGATCACGCCGGACATAGACGTGGCGGAGCAGGCGACACTGCTCGACTCATACCGCTCCGCCCGTGAGATCTGCAGCGACCATTGGCGCTACCACCAATATCAGGCGAAACTCAAGGCCGCCTACAAGGAGTTCGACGAGGCATCAAACAAGGTGTGGGGCAAGAGCGGCGAGGAGGAGGACATTGCTGGCTCCATCCCGCCTCCACAACCATCAAGCCGACACGTTCGGGGACGCCGCTGGCAGCGAGGAAGAGTAGTGCATGGTAGGTTGCCGTCGCTCGGGTCCCAGGAAGGCCACCTCTCTTCCCCTCCCATTAAAGCCAAGCTTAGTGGGCTGAACATCGACGGGCGATTAGCCGCTTGGCGGCGACATGGAGGCTGACATCTTCACTTCCCGGGGCTCATGGCCGAACATGGGGGGCGGGCGCCGACGATCATTTAGATTAGGTTTAGAGTAGGTTTTAATCCGGTTTATATAAAAATGTAATTTAGTTTATATGAAATCCGCCGTGCTTGCACAAATTTCATCCGATTAATTCAAATAGTTGTCAAAATATATGCAGGCAGCGTTGGATGGCCGTTCGGCCCCATGTATGCGGATTGGCCCCTATATGCTGATGGATGTGGAGCAAATTTGCAGCTCAGCTTTGGAGATGCCCTGAGGACATTTCCCTTGCAGGGCATCAACTTAGAGACAGGAGTATTATTATCCCATTTTAGGGCTAGCTTTGATTCAAGCAGTAATTTTACCAATAACTTTGAATTTTAATGCCAATATGATGCTAAAAAAACAATCCGTTTACATGATTGGACTAGGATTTTAGTTTTGAATAATCCTCTGGAAATGATCATCTCTGCATCATTAAAATCCATATAGTAGGACAATTTTTCTTTTGCTCACCTTGATAACATGAAATTATGACTTCGCGTGCTCATGGACAACTTGAAGAACATGAATAAACACACTAGTCGAAATCCTATTTCCATTCTACTTAATATATGACCCATATTCTAACGACACTTCCTTGAGTTCAAAACTAACATACTCTACCTGCCAAAACTCTAAGCCCCAATGCTATTTGGTCAAATGAGCAACGACACTGTACCCTTTAAGATCAACATAATGCTACAGAAAAGGTTAGACTAGTTTGATCACCTCATGCTTTTGTTAACATCTCTATATCTCATATGTGATCCCAACTTTGAGCAGCTGATCTTTAGGAATGGACAACACTTTGTGACCCTCTGCCAAGTTCCTTCTCAAGAATGAATACACATAGTCTACCACGACCACCTTCAAGGTGGGTGATTCAGGTCCTGCTATCACATTGGCTGACCCCATCAGATAAACCACCCCTCGCTTCATCTCTGCGTCAATCAGCTGCTTCTCCTCCTCAATCTTCTGAAGAGAATAGGAACTAATCCTCCCTACATGGTTGCTCATTGGCGGCTCTATCACCTCCTCGCTGTGTACAGATCGTGCGGACTTCCTAGGCTTCGTCTGACCTTCCGAAACCCCGCTTGGAGAGTCAGTATCCTCTTTTTCTGGTTTCTCCACTGCAAATGCATTCTCATCTTCGATGAACATCTTCAACCTCTCCGCTAGGAACCTGGCGAACTGTCCTGAATCCTCTACCCCATCACTGTAACCATACCGTGCGACACACCGGAACATCCGATGCTCCCTTGGACCAACCTGCCGGAAGACGAACCGCTCCGCAGGTGCCACATGAGGGATGGGTAGGTGCTTGATCGACATGAACAAAAAGATAGAGTGCACAGATGGAATTTTCTCCACCAACCGCAGGAACACCGGGGGAATACCTTGCACCAGCTCCGAGTACAAGATGCCCACCCCAGGGATCCGCTGCACATTATGCTTCTCAAGCAGTGCCGTCACCTCATCAATGGGGACGATGTGGTCAAGCTCGTACCAGTACTTCATGACATGCACATAGTGCCATGTTACCATTAGGGCCATCAGGACAAGCGCGAAGCAGAATGGCAGGTACCCGCCCTGGATGAACTTTGACAGTATTGAAGACAGGTAGATCCACTCTATGGAACTAAACACAACGTAAAACAACAAGATGAAGATGATGTTTTTCTTCCACACGAGCAACATCACGATAGTCATCAAATGGGTGGTGATTGAGAAGACGGTCACGACACAGATCCCTGTGCATCAACATAATCAAATCAGTAAACGTGCCTAATGTTCTACTAAAAGCCTCGTAAACTTACCATAAGCATTCCCGATTTCGGTGGTAGTTCTGAAGGTGATCGTGATTATAACACTAGCCAGTCCCATCAGAAAATTCACTTCAGGAATGTACACCTGCCCCTGGTGATGCTTGGAGGTATGGATAACCCGAACCCTCGGGAAGCAACCAAGAGATAGGGCCTTGGACAGGATAGCGAATGCGCCAGAGAGCATAGCTTGGCTTGCAATTATAGCCGAAAGAATGGCAACGGTGAAGGTTGGCCAGAACATTGGTGCTGCATTGTTGTTACAGAGAGGCAATCGTTTCTTTTGAGAATCACAAACTAAATCCCTTATAAGGAGCAAAACTGTAGTGTAAGTTGTTTATACCTGGGAGAGATCTGTAGAAGGTGTCTGCAACATTCTCTGGGAATTTCCTCAGATATGCTGCTTGCCCCATGTAACATAGTGCCACCGAAGGGAACAAGACACCACTAAAGCTTATCTAGGTAAGTACAGAAACCGTTGTAAGATATCTATGTTCTGAGACCTGTGCGACGAAAATTGCCAGTACCGTTGAAAACAGATCTAGAGTAAAAAACATGTTGAAGCAAGAAGCAATGCGGCAATTACCTGAATGGCCGTGATATTGAAATGCCCTAGGTCCGCATACATACCCTCTGTACCTGTACCATAAGGCAGTGCATTCAGATTGCATGCTACAGGTTCTCTTTTAAAATGCATTTTTCATCAAAAGGTTTACCTGTAACACACAAGATAGCACCTCCTAGTGAAATCCATGCTTCCTTCCCATTTCTTCCGAAGTAATATAGTATGTGCATAGGATTGAAGGCTCGGAGAATAGTGATCTCATACACTATGATGTTATATATTCCAATGCCAGCAATAAGAACGAACCACACCGAGATGATCGGAGCAAAGGAGTACCCGACCTTATCTGTCCCAAAACGCTGGACTGAAAAGAGCATGAACAGAATAGGCACCGAGATCCAGACTATCTGTGCTGTACAAGAAATGCAACATACACTTTAGATGTGATCAAATCTGGGTACTGACTAATTAGTGATGATAGAAACTATGTTTTCACACACTTTCAGTTAAACTTGGCACTTTCTCTTTGATCCCGCTCACTGCAGAGAGCACTGCAGAAGCACGTGAAAAGGAATGCATTAGTATTCCGAAAAGCAATCACAATATGACCTACGGATGACTCTGTTACTTTTGCTACCAGAAATCGCTGGTGTCAAGGTCCCATCACCCATCACCATGGATGTGCCAAGGATTGTGATGGTGAAGAGGCCAATCTTGGCTGCCTTGCTGGACTCAAGCTTCTCCTTCAACCATTGTGCCCTCTTCAGCGATAAGCTTGGTGATTCTATGCTGTAATTCGACACCATTGAATCCTCTGCCTGCTGGTTTGGGATCAGCCTTATCTTTGAATACCGCGATATAAGTGAGTAGAGCGCAAATGTGCCACCTGTAATAGCAATGTGCAGAGAAGACATAGTAAGTACTCCAGCTTGACATGTCAATATTCCAAAAATATCAGCTTACCATCTCCGTTGTCATCTGCATAGAGCACGATGAAGACATACTTGATCATCGGTAAAAGGATGAGGGTGTATAGGATGAGCGAGAGGACACCCAAGATATCATCCTTGTCTTTGACGCCGTTAGGGAAGGTGCTCGAGTAACAATAGAGCGGCGATGTCCCAACATCCCCATAAATGATGCCGATGCTCTGAAATGCAAGATGCAGTACTTGTGTCCAGTTTCCCTGTGTCAGCCAAAAGGCACATTACTGTCAAACTATAACCTGGAGGAACATGGTTGCTGCATCATAACCAAGTTGTGTGTGAAGCAGACCTCGGAGCCATGGCCTTTGATATTAGAGACCTTCTCTGCATCACCAATAAGTGAGTCTTGGCGCTCAAGCCGTTTGGTCATCTCGTTGCACAGTGGTTTCTCAACTTCTAGTGACATCTGTGCTCGATTGCTATTTTTGAGCACCTCCTAAGCTTTTGGAGGTATTTCTCCTATAGAAGGCAGACAATGCACACATATAAACAGCAATATATTTCCAACAAAACAGCATGAGCACACAGTAAACAGAACTACAAAGCACTATAACAATTAACACGTTACAGGGAAAAAATGTACAAACTGAGCAAGTGAAAAGTATTAGACAGAGAACATGTACTCTCTCCGTCCCAAATTCTTGTCTTAGATTTGTCTACATACGGATGTATCTATTCACGTTTTAGTGTTAGATACATCCGTATCTAGATAAATCTAAGACAAGAATTTTGGGATGGAGGTAGGATATGACGTTTTGGTAGTTCAAATCGTTCAATTTGAACTAATGGAGGGAGTAGTAAACACTAGACGGTACTTCCTCCATTTCATAATGTAGTGCATATAGATTTTTTGAGAAGTCAAACTTCGACCAAGTTTATAGAGAAAAAAAATCTACATCTAGTAGAATACCAAATACATATCATTAGATATATCATGAGGCATATTTTCGTCTTTTTTTATGTTTGGTATTGTAGATATACATATTTTTTTATATAAACTTGGTCAAGGTTTAACTTTTGAAAAAAGTCTACATGTACTACATTATGGAACGAAGGGAAAAGTAAACATTCACAAATAAAACACCGGCAGGCAGCCGCACCATCTCATAAATAAAGGTACCATCTAGAGATTACAAGCGCACAGTTAAAATTCTACAAAAAATCGGATACTACCATTTTGGAGGGGCCTGATAATCAAGCTAGAAAACTGGATAGTCTTATTCTGCCAGATATTAGCAATACTATATCCCATGCCATATCCCATACACCGGATTTGGAATAGGGGCCGATAGCGTGCACGTGTAAAAAGCCTCTGAACATATCCTATACCACTGGATTCAGAAATGATTGGTCCTAGCCATTTTCACCCCTAAATATCACTATTCGTTGTAAGCGCTAAACACCAGCACAAGGTGGTATAATGGCATTTTAATATGAGGAGTAATCCCATGCTACAAGGAATGGGTTGATCCAACCACTAGCGAAGCATAGACAGATGGATTGCTCGGGTTTCGTCAACAGATTAAGGTTTTTGGGTGCATGAAACTCAAATACAGGGTTTGAGATTATGATTGCACAAACTCGCAATTTCAAGCTACGAAGCACCGATACGCCAGAAATTGGAGTATCGGCGTACTGAACGTTCCCGATACGGCGATACGCACGATATGGCTGGGATACAGGTATCGGCGAAGTATCCTATTTTCCGATTTAAAAAGAAAAGAAAAAACATCGATACGTCCTGTGCATCGTCTACGATACGGGAGCGACACGGCAGCCCACTGGAAGGCCCATGGCTAACCCTAGCATCTGGGCTCCCTCTCTTTTGTTTTGTTCGCACGACAGGAGCTTGCACGAGGGAGCCGCCGCCGCTGGACAAGCCTCCCCGCCGGCCGCAGCCGCAGACTGGAGTCACTTGCCGCCTGGAGTGGCTCACCGGCGCCGCCTGGAATTGCCTCGCTGCCGCCTCAACTCGCCCCCACCGGCTGGAATCGCCTCTCCGCTTGAATCTTCTGCTCTTCTCCACCGCCGTCGCAACTCACAAGGTAAACAGCAATTACCCCGAGCCCCTAGGTGTGCTTGATCTTGATGCATGCTTGGCTACTTGCTGGCTTCCATAGACCGTAGTAGCAGACTCTCTCATTAGGTAGTAGTAGTACTATACTAATTTGGATCTGATGTATGTTTGGCTGCTTGCTGGCTTCCATGTGGGGTGTGCTTGCTGTGTTGCTGCTTGTTGATGTTTGTGGGATAAAATTATTACTTGTTGATGTTGTTGCTGCTGTCTATTGCTAGGGAAGGAGATAGAAGTACAACATGACATTATAGGGAGTTCCATGGCAACATTTTGATCTCATCTCACACATTTTATTATGTTGGCTTTTATTACATGTCATTTTATAATTATTTATATATATACTTGCCGTATCGCATATTGCTGTTTCTACAGATTGCCGTATCCCGTATCACCGTACTCGTATCGCCGTATCGGTGTCGTCGTATCGGTGCAACATAGATTTCAAGGACAAAAACAATCGTGACAGTTAACAGTCCAGTGGTGAGGCCAAGATGGAAATGATCATTAAGCGTCCCGGTCTAGATTCAAGGATAGACGAAAGTATAAGTGGACATGTAAATGAAATGTAAGTGGATTTACTTTTCGCCATACGCCGCAAAGGTTCAACTATTGTGGATAACAACAACGGCACAGGAAAATGTAAGTGGATTTACCGGTTGAGTTGGGTAAATTAGTTGGTTCATTTCATGGCTCATGGATGATGGATCTTAGCATCCTTAAGACACTCATCCTGTATAGACCAGCGATGCTTGAAGATAGCCTGCATCCAGTGGATTGGAATGGATCGCTCTTTACCAGTCCGCTGGCCCACTCTTTGCCAATACTGCTTTGCTCGCTGCCTCACCTGCTGCACCTAGAAAAAGAACAAAAAATAATTTGGTTTGCCGCATCTGCTATGGTACGGATATAAAAAACCTCCCCTCAAAATCGTGCGCGCGCCAAAGATAATACCGATAATGATTCCAAAAAAGAAAAGAAGCATACCTCGCGAAGCAAATGTCGGGGAAGAAGAACAAGGGAAGACAGGGCGGAGAGGAGAAGAGGGGACACCCGCGGCCGCGGCCACGGCGCCCCGTACTTGTAGCGCAGCGAACGTCCCTGTGGTGAGGAGGAGATCAAGCGGATTCGAAGGTCGGCCGCATCGCGTGCCGTGGACCGAGCCGTTGCGCTCGCGAGCAGGAACGACGGGTAGGGACGCGTGTCCCTTTTGGAAGCATTTTTTTATTTAGAAAAGGCCATCATGGCTACAAAAATGCCAGTCCTTTATTTGAAACTTCAAATTTCAAATTTTTTAGTTTCAAAAAGTTTTGAAAATAAATACACATATACCTAGATACAAAATGTGTGCAAATTTTCAAGTCGAAATACACTAAAATGTGAGCTAAAAAAGACAGATTTGGGTTTTTTTAGCATATGTGTTGTTTCATCCTCAAAGTCCATGATTTTTTTGCAGCTCGCAATTCAATCCTAAAATTTTCACACATACACATTACATCCTTGCATACATGTGGATTTTTTTCATAACTTTTTGAAACTAAATTTTTTGAATTTGAATATTCAAAATAAAGGGTTTTATGGAGCTCGGTCTCCAATATGCCCTACTCACCATGGCTAGCTTTATTAAGCTGTAGACAAAATTACATCGCTCACAAGCATCAAACATGCCAGAGGCCCGTCAATCCAACTAATAAAAGTCTTATTACTATAACTAAATTTAGCTAGGACATGCGCTATTTGATTCGCATTTAATTCGCAGAACGAAAACAATGTTTAAAAGAGACCTGCTCAGTTAAAGAAGCTACTCCACCACTCCACAAAGATAGCCGATGCTGCATCCCACCATTGAGATTGACCATTATAGAAGTTAATCACATTATGCGAGTCTGACTCAGCTTTCACTCGATTAATACCCATAGCATTAGCAAAATTGAGTCGTCCCTCATCGCCATTGCTTCGATGGTCACCACATTTGCAGCAAATTGAATATACTTGCATCAGGCAGCTAGGAATGTACTTCTACAATCTCTCAAGATAGCTGTCAAGGCTCCTACACCATCCTTAGAAAACACAACTGCATCAACATTCATATATTATAAGAGGCACTATGCTAGAGCATCTCCAACGACTCTTCTATCTTTAAAACAACCATCATTTACATGAAGTTATGACAAAAAAGCCTCACGTTCCCCCAAAATGACCATAATTCTAGTCAGAAGGTGATGCACAGGGCATCCACACGGCTCCACCACGCCAGCCAAGGGGAGTGGCCAGCCGTGTGGAACGTCATCGCTGCTCACACCGCTCCTCGCAGGCGGCCGTCCCGTGCACGTGCCGCCACAATGCCGCCTCACGTCACGGCCACCGAGCCACCCCGCGCCTCCACTCACCGGCGGCCGTCACGCGTGTCACTGACTGACAGGTACTAGGGCATTATCATTTTTGTTTAATTGAAAATATAATAAAAAATGGTTTAGGGAAAGAAGTTGATGGGAACTGACAAAAGTAGCTCTCGACCAACTTCACCTAAATTTTATGGGCACTATGTAGAAAACTTTTATAAAAAATTAGGGGAGTAAGTTTTTTAAGGGAGCTGCAAGTTGCTCTAATAAAAAACTCTTATGAAAATTGGGGACAGTACAACTAAACCATTTCTAAGGCCTCTCATGCCCCTGTCAATTTTGGCTGTCAGATCGTTCGTGTGGGATTTTTCTGGCCGTCCTATCACTAATTTTTCTATAGAAAATTCTGTGGCCTCTGGTTAGCTAGGCCAGTTTCGCCGAATTCATCCTCCTGAAGCGCATTAGCACCTTCCCCTCTCAGCCCTCTCCTTTTGCTTCTCTCTTCTCGACCTCGCCTATTCATTTTCTAGCAACCTGGCCATACCTTACTCCAGTGCGCCGTCGCCCCAACCCGAGTCACCGTGTTCCCTTCCCTATCTTGACCCTGAGCAACCGCGCCCACTACAAGCCTTAGCTCACGCGTACGCCCTATCTTCATTCCGACCATGTCTTCCTAGGTAGTCTTCCAGTAACATGGAGTTCACTACCGAAAAAGGCTTTCGCCCCGCTTTATATTATAAAGCAAATGCCCAAGCCAACATCCAACAAGGTTCAGACACACACACACACACACACGCACACAAGGTCCAGACAGACAAGTAGTCAAAGGGTTAATACTGAGGGCACAGCTCAACAAGCCCTGAAAAAACACAAAAGAGCGCACGCGTCGGGTGCGACACAACATCTAGTCGGGCTCCGGGGGTGGCTGAGGGAGCGGAGGCGCCAAGCGGAAGGCCATCGATCGAAGGTCAGCGAGGAGGGTGCTGATGA